AAAGTTACAAACCAAACTTGAAATTTCAAGAAAATTCTAGCCTTTTTTTTCGGTGTCGGACCTCGTAGCTCGGCATCAACAAGTCAAAATTTAAAAAACTAATATATATTTGTAAGCAAAATTTTATTTTCTAAAAAAACGACAAGAATGATTTTTTTCACTGGATGCACTAGAACTACGCAAAATCGGGAAAACGCTGACGAAGTCAAGAATCATTTTATACGTAATTTCTGACGGCCGCCATTTTGTTATAAGCAATTTTGACTGTGTTCCCGAGGGGGGCTAATGGTAAACTTTTTTTGGGGGGCTCTAGACATGTTTTGGAGCGCTTTAAAACACAAGAGAAGTTTGTGCTAATTTGTCCGAGGTTAGGCCCTTTTTTTGGCTAGAATGACTGGACTATAGGTTATTGTTAGGCAAGACAGCCGCAAGTGCTATCCACTGCATGCTTTCATGGTTGCGTTTCGGACACACAACAAACACATTCTCAGGTTCGAAATTGGTAGGAGGGCGGCACTTTACTTCAAAGCCCTGTTTTCATCGGCTCGCTGGAGGAATATTGTCGGCACTTACTGCTGTCTTGCCTGAAACTAAGTAATTTTTGCGCACTTACGGCTTTCTCATGTGTCTCGTCTTCATGTAAATAAGATGAATTTTGCTGTTTTAGCGATTTCAGTGATTTCATCTGAAAGAGATTTGACGAATTTTGAAGGAAACTCGATTTCGCTGACCCTTAATGCTCTCTTCGCTATCACGGCAGATTATGTGACATATTCACCACAGGAGTGTACTTAAGCTCTGGTGGATTAACCGCGCTTTCAAGATGGCTGGCCTAAGAATTTCCGAACAACTCTTCAAGATCTGGAGATGTTGACTGGGAGCTGGGCTTTGTTCTTGTTGGGGTTTGCATTTGCTGCTAATGATGGCGTATCGATCAGAATGGGGATCAAAGGTTCCCGGGAGAGTTAAGAGCCGGGAATCGGAACGTGGAAGTTCCCGGGAACTCCCGATAACGTGCATGTATTCCTCCGGCAAAATATTCTGGGAAGGAGATGTTATCAGGGAATCACCGGAAACTTGCTTAGGTTAGACTAATTGGACTACATGTTGCAATTTGGAGCTACGTATTATGTCTCAGTTCAGAAATGGACTGCATTTTGCAATTTGGAACTATAAATTCTAGCTCCTCTGGAAAAACACTTATGTGCAAACTAGCATATACGTTGTTTTTAAAGCGGGCTAGAATTTATAGTTCCAAATTGCAAAATGTAGTCCAAATAATGTATGTACCATTTGCTGGCGGAAAGTTTAGAGTTTTGGTCACTCAACTGGTTTAAATGTGAATTCTGTCTCTTTTATCACCGTACTAATTGTAACATCACAATTATCAAGATAAAAAAAAAAAAAAAAAAAAAACCACGAGAAATGACCTTTGAAAATACTGTAAGCGCTGAAAAGAGAATCCTTAGTTTTCATCGTATAACTATGTCTTCATAGCTCAAAAATGTTAATATTCCCTGCAGAAGCCAGGTCTTAGTTCCTTTTTGATCTTGAAGGATCCCAATGCAGACCCGAACACTTCGAAATGTTTTTAATAATACCTGCACGCCCTCTTTTCCCTCTCCGCGATATCTATTGAAGCAGTGTTAAAAAATCTCAAAAAACTACAGTGAAAAAAAATACGCAATTCCGGAGCGTCGTCATGCGTATTTTTTCGCGCGCAAAAAAAGCGCACCCAAGTTTTCGCGGCTGATTTTTGAAATTCCGTGCGACTTTTTGAATAGTGGAACGTTCAGGTTTGCAATGAGCAAAATCATAAAAATTTAATCACTACTTACATTATGATCCTCATAGATTTTACCTCTGATTTAGGTATTTGTGAGCTTAAATCTTTCAATTACTTGTTTATAACACTAATTTATAAATTATTCTTTGGAGAGTTATATAATATCTAACACTATATGCAGCTAAAATCCAAATGAAAAGTCCGATCTCTCCTTTGAAGTGTGTGAAGATGTTGTCAGCCTTGTTCGTAATACCGCCTGATTTTTAATAGGTTATGTTTATGTTTTGTTCCGATACTCTCATATCCCATAGAGAAAAAAAAGGAGGTGTTTGCATCTTGAGGATTTGTACCCACCTACGTCATCAATGTAAACAAGACGCTCGTTGAGGGTTATGTTGACGCTGTAAAAACGGACCATAATGTCCGATTTTTTTACTTAAGTCAACTCTTTATTTAATTTCAAGCACTTTTTATAGAATGACTTTTTCCCTTAAATTACACCATTTCCAAGAAAATCGACAGGATAAAAACGTCGCTGTACCCAATGACGTCATCAAAGCTATAGATACTCTATGAAAAATTCCAAGATGCCCGAAATGCAAACACCTCCTTTTTTTTCTCTATGC